GGAAACCAAGATGGTTTAACACTACAGTTTGATGGTTTTGGGAATTTTTACAGCAAGAGATTATCAGGAGCTACATTGACAACTCTCTTAAAACTGGTGTTCACCTGTCAGTTTTTCGCAAAGATCGTGTTGGGGGTGATTCACATGGAGTTAATTTTTGGTCTGTAGCAAAGAAAAAATACCTAAATAGGACTCCCTTGTTTGCATATATCTGATAGCACCTGTTTGTTTCTTATGTAAGGTATGAGGATGATCCCTTAATTGGTCACCGTCTATATCGGGAAATAAGGAAAGCAGAGGTGTTGAAGGTCAAAACAAAGGGTTCCAAGATTCTTCCTAATATAACATACCAATGGGAAACTGTTGCCACTAATTTCGATGAATTTCAAGATGTTTCTGTAAGTCTCTTTACAATCAATCATTCTGAATTGCCAGATAAATTGCTTAGGATACTTCTTCTATATGACTGTCACTTAAGTGAGTCTGTAATTAATTCTTGCTATGGAATATGGTAGCTTGGTTCTGATGTGATTGTGATGGTTAGATGGCGTGCAGGCTAGTGTTTACCATACACTCGAATATTAATCTTCCTTTTTGATGGAATTTTACAGTTGCCAAAAATGGATTATACTCCCAAAAAGTTTTACTCAGAATGGTGCATACAATTGTTTGTAAATTGTCCTTGATATCTTTAGTGATTGTGAGTGAATCAAGTTAAAATGTTAGCAGTGCTAAGAACTGGCTTAAAAGGGCTCATGTGCAAGCTGGGTATATTTCGATGTAGGTACATAGTTGGATGTTAATGAGTTAGTAGTATGTTATTTGTCATTTGTGTTAGTGAATCCAGTATCTTTTTCTCGAGAGATGTCCTTTCTTGTTGCAGTTGATCATAGGGTTTAACAAGGTGAACACAAACAACTTGTTACTGTGGATCTGTTTCAATGCGTTAGTACCTTCTTTTGCGGTTTGCGGAGGGAGATCCTATGCTATTCAGTCGAAACTTATGTTTCGGACTGAACTTCTTTACTTTTGACTGTCAATTTCGGTGAAGGATTAAACTAAACAATAGGTATAACTTTTTATGTCTTTACTGCTGATTGAGATGCTTTGTCTCTTTGTTTTGCAGGAAAAACTTCTTCAGAGTAGTAGTAGAATTGAAGTTTCTCTAGGGAAGAAGTTAGTGAAAGATATGCTTCCTGAGATAGAAAAAGAACACAAGGTTCCAATCTGCTCCATGCTTTTCTATTTATTATATTTTCTGTTTTTCATGGCTGAAAATTCTTATCAACTGCATATTTTCATAATGGAATTTTTTCCATTGTCAGAGGAAAGAAAAATTGTTGAAAAAGCAACACAGACAGGCTCTCCTCCTTGATAACTTTGTGGTTGTTGATGGTCTTGCTGGGCGATCTCTCCGTGATAGGAAACCAGTTAGATACACTTTTGGTAATGTTAATGACCTGGTTGGAAATTCATGCCCGTGGTTCTTCTCTTTTGGCATTTTTTCCTAATTAAAATCCATCTTAATCTCTCTACTGGGCTGAAGAGTTTTACTAATTCCAAAGATTATTGCAGATGATTATGATAAGTCCATAAATGATGCTATCAAGACAACAAAGTACGTCTGAGTCTCCCTTGCATTGAATCATCTCTGCTGTTGGTTTCCTCAACATTGTTGTTTGGTGACTATCATCTATTGTCTATTACATTCTGTTTGTTTTCGTGATACTATCTCAGGAAGAAACATCCATCACCAGAACCTCCTCTCAATAGAAGAGAATCTGCCAGATTGGACGCTCTTGCGAATGGCAGATCGACCAGTTCAACCCACCCTACTGAGCCTGTGAACGATACAGCATCTGGGAGATCTTCTGATTTTGCTGATTATGATGATTTCGATGAGCATAGAGATGAATCATTGGACAGAAGGCAAGACACTGTGTATTTTTCTTCTCTCCTTAAATTTTCCCTCTGGAACTATGCAAACCTTTAGCTTGAATTAACAAGTATAATTTCGTGGCAGTAACAGGCGCAGACAACGACCTCAACGATATTCAGCTACGGACTTTGTTGAAACTGTTTCAGACAATGAGGTAGAATTTCAAAGTGACGATGACATATATGGGGAAGCAGTTTATGATGAAGAATATCTGAGGAAGCGTAAACAGAAAAAGCTCTCTAGTGGTTCTGAGGGAGATGAAGAGTACAAATGGGATGAAGACAATGCCGAGTATGAGGAAGAAGAAGAAGAGGAAGAAGAAGAAGATTCTCTAAGTGCAAGTGAAGAGGATAGTGATGAACCCCGGAGGGCTAAGAAAATGCCACGGAGAGAAACTAAGTTAAGATCAAGATCAAATGATTTTCGGCCAGGCCTGAGACGTAGCAAAAGAGCCACGAGAATCGATTACCAACAATATGAGCTCTCAGACTCAGACAAAGAAGCAACAGGATTGGCAAAACGTAAGCGGTTGGTTGAGCCGGATGAACCTTCGGATGAAACAGGGAATGGGGATTTCACAATGGGAAGTCAGGACTCTGAAGAAAATGCAAATGACCCAGAAACAAAATCTGGTGAAGAAGAAGTTGAAGAAGAAGAGCCGAGAGAGGTCAATGACAATGCAGAGACAACAAATGGTAAAGAGAATAACCAACTTAACAAATCAAACGGCACAACAGACCAAGAAGAAGTTGAGGGTGTAGTAGGCAAAAGGCGTTACCTTGACTTAAACGAGCTGGCCCCTGTGTCTGGTTTTGATGATGGTCCAAGTACAGTATTGAAGGATGATGATAAGACAGACAATTCATAAGCAAGAAAGAGAGACCTCTCTTTGCCGTCATAAAGCTTCTTCCTCTGGTCAATCACCATTGTATGATAAGCAAGATTTTCACGAGTTATTTCTGGCAAAAATCCCTTGCAGAGAAAAGTTGAAACGGTAAGAGACACTTCATTGGCTTTTTCTTCATTCAAGCATATCTGCCTTCTTGTTGTTTTTAAAGTAATTCAGGCAAATTCGGTTTGATAAGTGAAGAGGAGAATGTTGTGGAGGCCGAAGAGGTATGTGTAGATTAGGTTAGTCATTTTTTTCTTACCATGAAGAAAGAAACAATGAAGAGGGTGAACCAGATATTCCTAAGAGCTGTTTAATGTTTTTATGGAATTATTATTAGTGTACAAGTTAACTTTCTCTAACTTTTTGTATTTTGACCATAAGAACACGTTCAAGGTCTCTTAGATTTTGGTTAGACGACGCAGCTTTGAGACTTGCTGAATGTGATTATGGTACCATGGAGCAAATCTTTTTAATGGCTGTGAAACAAAATGTTGTTGCTTTATCCCAGGTCATATTGTGAGCTTCAAAGCTCATGAAATTACCTTCAAATTAATAACTTGGATTTTATATACGTACATAATATAAATACTATTTTACTATGTTTTTGAATTAATTGGTTTTAGAAGGTGTATGATTGAAGAAAGCCACAAACTTGTTGTGGTCCAAGTCTTTTCCAAGTTAAATTAAAATTGTTTTTATTGTTACTACTTACTAGAAAACCTTCTACAATATATCTATCACTCACTAAAAGATGGCTTCTTTTTCTTTTAATCTATAAGATATAGCAGTTAACTTAAGACTTAATACCCTCTTTGATTTCAGTGAAACTTGTTATAGATTATATTAGGAAACAATTTTTATAAACTATAAAGAATTGTGCTAAAGAACTTGGCCAAATGTTTATTCTTTGATAAATTTTGGAGATTTTGGAACCAAAGATGTGGCAAGATAGAGAAAATGGAAATAATAATTTTATATATAATTAAAGAATCATGCATATGTAATTTAAGAAAGATGGAAATATATATATTCATGCCTTTCTTGCCATACACGCTTCTTATACCTCCAAACCCATTTTGCCTAATCCCTTCCTTCTTCACAACACTCCCTTTGTATTATTATTATTTCATGCCTCATTCTTCATCTTTCTAAAGAAAAGCCTATAATATATTTCTCCAATACTATTAACATCCTTAATAAAAAAAATTCTTTCAAAGGAAAATGGTGAGATCTTGTTCTTCAAAATCAAAAAATCCTTGGGCAAACGAAGAAGACACCGCCCAAAAGTTTGTGTTTGCATCTGCGTCCAAAAACGGATCTGCAGCTCCTAAGAAAATAGGTTACAAAAACATTTCTCTCTTTCTTTTAATGATATGATGTTGATATATATGATATATCTATGTATATATATGTGTTTGACCATTTATAGGACTTAGGAGATGTGGGAAGAGTTGCAGAGTGAGAAAGACTGATCATTCAGGAACAAAGCATGAGAGCTTCACTTCTGAAGAAGAAGATCTGATCATCAAGATGCACGCAGCAATGGGAAGCAGGTTGTCTAGATATCGCGAATTACTCGAAAACTCTTTGAGATTTTACAGATTCTGATGGTTTTGTTTGTGTGAATTTAGGTGGCAACTTATTGCACAACATTTACCAGGAAAGACAGAAGAAGAAGTGAAGATGTTTTGGAACACAAAACTAAAGAAGAAACTGTCTGAGATGGGGATAGATCATGTCACTCACCGGCCCTTCTCTCACGTACTTGCTGAATACGGCAACATCAATGGTGGTGGAAACATAAACCCTAATCCCTTGAACCAAGCCGGATCTCTTGGACGTAATCACTCGCTCAACGATGATGCTCATCAACAACAACAACCTGATGATTCAGGAGATCTCATGTTTCATTTACAAGCAATCAAGCTTATGACTGAGTCATCGAACCAAGTCAAGCCCGAGTCTACGTTTGTGTACGCCTCTTCGTCTTCTTCTAATTCGTCTCCTCCATTATTCTCTTCAACATGTTCTACCATTGCTCAGGAGAATTTAGAGGTTAACTTCACTTGGTCTGACTTTCTTCTTGAACAAGAAACCTTCCATGAAAACCAACAGAGTCATCCTCAAGAACTAGACAGCTTGTTTGGGAACGACTTCTCTGAGGCAGCAGCAGCAGCTACGATGACCAATTCATCAACTGTAGCTCCTCACGTTGAAGAAGAATCTTCCTGCAACGGGTTCGTTGAATCAATCATAGCTAAAGAAAAAGAGTTGTTCTTGGGATTTCCTAGCTATTTGGAGCAGCCTTTCCATTTTTAGTTTATCTTATCTTATTCTCAATTACTCAATAAAGAAACAATCTAATAAAGAGAAAGAATTGCTTCTTATAAATCTTCGTTTTTTTGGATATTGTTACAAATTCAATTAAGAAAGATTTCAAATCAATTGGCAAATTCATTGCATAGAACTTGACTTAAACTAATGTTTAAAGATCTGAGTGTATCATTGAATACCTATCTTTTGACCATATATATTGAATACCATCAGTTGCTAACGTAGGAAGTTTTGATAATTGAATTAGCTGATAATGAAAATTGAACCATCCGTTGACAATGTCTATAAAGGTTGTTAAGAGAGACTTTTCAGAATTGATTTGAGTAATTTGACTAAGAAAAACTGATTACTTGGCATCATAGTTTTAGTTTAAGATAATCAACAAAAAATCACCAAGAACTGGACAACTTATAAAGAATGAGTTCTTTAAATCAATTTCAATGGCTGATCGCACGAATTGCCAAGCAGCTATTCATATCGCATCTAAATAAAATCAACACAAGAAAGATATAACAAAGAACAAAAAAGAGAGAAAGTGATCAATCTTATTATTGTTTAGTTTCGAATTTTCATACCAATTATTACAGACAGTGTATACGACTATTGTTATAAAGCTTATTGTGAAAGATCATTTCAGAAACATGAATTAAAAGATTTAACCAGCAAACTTGGACTTTAGATTCTGCACAGTTGTAACATCAGTTCTAAACGCTCTGGTCAGGACTGCGTTTGGAATCTCAGGGTTCGAGCCAAACAGAGTACTAGGCAAAACAACTGCTCCTGGAAGTTGGCTGTTAAAAGCGGTTATCATGCGCGCTTTCACTTGGCCAACGTTCCATTGGAAATGAACCAATCCTCTAGGTATAACAAACACCTCTCCGGCATTCAAAACCTTTGAGAACAAAGTGTTGTTGGTAGTCAAGAATCCGACAAAAACCGAGCCTTCGATTATAGTTCCTACTTCGGTTGCACGCGGGTGCAAGTGAGGCGGATTTACACCGCCTGGAGCTAATTCAACGTTGTTCATCGAGATTCCTAAAGTGTTTAGACCCGGAAAGGTTAGGACGTTGGCGGGAGCAACGGTAACACCGTTAGGGTTCGAAGTGTCTAAGGGACCACCTAAACCGGAGTAGAAGAAGTCAGAAGCAGAAACGGCTGATTTGCATGGAAAGCCATTGATGGAAGGAGAAGCTTTGAGATCGCCGATGCAGAAGTCTTGTAAAGGATCAGAATCAGATGAGAGAGATGGGATTACAAAGAGACAAAGCGTTAGAAAGAAAGATCTGAAAAGAGAAGAAGAGATTTGGAGAGTAGCCATAGCTTATTGATGAGAATGATGAAACAGAGCATCCTCTGTTTTGTAGATATATAGTGGTTTATTTTGGTCTTCGGAAAATTGTATTTTGACTCGTTCTAGTTTTTGGTAAAAAAAAAAACAATAAAATTGGAGAAAGTTGAGATAAATGGAAAACAAATGTTTATTTTTTAGTAATGGTTCAAGTTTGACGTTCTGTTTTACAATTTTACTCTGTTTTTCTAAAACTTTTCTTATTGATTTTTTCGTAAGAAGCAAGCAATGGAAAAGACAAGTAATAAGCAGAGAACATTTCAAACAATCTGGGTGACAACGTAGAAGAAAGTTGTGATAAATTAATTAGTTGGTAAGAATCCAAAACTAAGAGTCCATTTATGAATTTCATTGACTACCATTTGTTGATATTGTCTCTTAAGTTTTTTTTTTCTTTCTAACGGAAGAAACAAATTTTATTAGTACTATTACTTAAAAGATCTGACGTTATTTGTATCAGTTTTTCTAGTTACTGTGTCATGCAATTGCAAATGTACAAACGAAAGGGAAGACCTTTCTAAAATAATGACGTCGACAAATATCAAAATAGAACTACTACACGCGTGTAAAATACAAAACCACACGCAACAAAGGCGCGTTCGTGAGACTAGAATCCGTGGACCTGCAGCGCGTGGGTCGGGATTCTCAATTGTGTTCTATATTTAGAAATAAGCCTGGGCTTTCGGTTATCCGTTCGGTTATCGGTTGGGTCCATTCGGTTTTCGGTTCTTTCGGTTCTAAAATTTAGTATCCATTCGGATATTTTGAAATTTCGGTTCGGTTTCAGTTTGGTTCCGGTTCTTTCGGTTTTAAAATTTAGTATCCATTCGGTTATTTTGCTTAGGATATTTTCGGATATTTCGGTTATTTTTGAGTATTTTCGAATATTTTTGGATATTTTTCGGTTATTTTTTAGTATTTTTACTATTTTTATAGATTTTTCAAGTATTTTTGATTATTTGGTCAATAAATAACTAATTATTTCGAAAATATAATTGTATTTCGGGTATTTCGGTTACCCGAAATATTTCGGTTCGGTACCGATTCGGTTACGGTTATTTCGGTTATCAAATTTAGTATCCATTCGGTTATTTTCAAATTTTCGGTTCGGTTTGGTTCGGTTTTTTTTTGCTTCGGTTTCGGTTCGGTACATTCGGTTCGGTTTAAAAGCCCAGCCCTATTTAGAAACATCTGCTGAATACAACATGGGCCGCATAATATACAACAATTAGGCCTATTTACACTTTTGGGCTATAAAGAACACTTGTGGTCCAACAAATTTTGAAATTTTCGAAAGTAATATTTTGAAAAGCTTCAACAACAAAGAGGCCCATTTACTAAGATTACTGAATATGTGAACATCATCAAATCAACAACCATTGGTTTTAAGTTATCCTAAAATAGCATGATAAATCGGAAAAGCATAGGCCCTTTTGAAAACATATGATGCCATGAGATGTCTTCGCTTTGTCTTTAGTCAGGGCCGGCTATGAACTATTGCCTGAATCAATGCTTTGGAATCACTCTCGAATATCACATGTTGCTCGATCGAATTGCCAAGTAGTTCGTTGTTCACATCGCAACCAAATAAAATCTTCAGAAAAAAAGATTATATGATAAAGAGAAAGAAATGAATCTTATTAATGTTTTTTTTTTCTCCATACCAATTGTTTGTTTACACATAAGTTATTGCTATAAAATCGAATTAAGAAAAGATCGTCTTGAAAAAAAATAAATCAAACAGCAAACTTGGACTTGAGTTTGTTCACAGTAACATCATCAGTCCTAAACGTTTTGGTCAAAACCGCATTTGGAATCGTAGGATTTGAGCCAAACAGAGTACTAGGCAGAACAGCTGATCCTGGAAGCTGACTGTTGAAAGAGGTTATCAAACGCGCTTTCACTTTACCAACATTCCATTGGAAATGAACCAATCCTCTTGGGACAACAAACATCTCTCCGGCTTGTATAACCTTCGAGAACAGAGTGTTGTTGGTAGTCAAGAACCCGACAAAAACCGACCCTTCTATCACAATTCCTGCTTCTGTTGCACGCGGATGTGAGTGAGGCGGATTTACACCGCCTGGAGCGAATTCGACGTTGTTCATCGAGAGTCCTAAAGTGTTTAGACCCGGAAAAGTTAAGACGTTGGCGGGAGCAACGGACACACCGTTAGCGTTCGAGGTGTTTAAGGGACCACCTAAGCCTGAGAAGAAGAAGTCAGAAGCCGAGACGGATGATTTGCAAGGGAAGCCATTGATGGAAGGAGAAGCTTTGAGATCGCCGACGCAGAAGTCTTGTAAAGGATCAGAATCAGATGAGAGAGATGGGATTGCGAAGAGACAAAGCGTTAGAAAGAAATATCTGAAAAGTGAAGAAGAGATTTGGAGAGTTGTCATAGCTTATTGATGAGAATGATGAGACAGAGCATCCTCTGTTTTGTAGATATATAGTGGTTTATTTTGTTTTGGCTAAGTTCTTCTTTTGACTTATTCTATTTTTTAGTCTAGAAACAAATAATTCGAGATTAGTTGAGGTAAATAAATGGACAAGAAAATATTCTTTGTTTATTAGTACTAGTGGTTCAAGTTTGATGATCTGTTTAACTCTATTACTTATGTATTCTAAAGCATTCTATTGATTTTGTCATAAGAAGTAGTCTGAAGAACATTTCAAAGTTAATGGTTAAACTGTCTCTTGTTAAACAGAGAAGATTTCTTACTTAGTCATAAGATACATCATACATATTGACTTCAAGACTTAAGCTAATGATGTCTTTTAAGAAAACTGAGAAGTTCAGAGAGTTTTGGTATGTAATTGGGACTCATTGGTTGATAATGCACGATTTTCCATGATGCAATTAGTTGGTAAGAATCTTAACACGATATGCTTAATATTGGCTTGGTCAAGTCTTTATGGGTTTGTTAAAGTGGGATTTTCATAAATAATATTTTTAATTAGGAACAATAATTACTTGGCGTCAGGGTTTTAGTTTCAATAAATCATCAAAGAAAGATTCAACCAAATTCTAAAAAAGAAAACAGGTTAAAGATTTGAATTTGAAGTAAGAGACAAGGCAGAAAAAAATGCTTTTTGCTGCGTCTGTAATAAAAATTGTCAGTATCAGTTACATACAGATTTGATACAAGGATGTTGATTTGATATCTTCTGATGATAGAAGAAGTAAGTAAAGAGATTCATGATTCTGATGGCATTTCAATGAAACTACGAAGCATATGCAGATTTTGAGATATCTGTAATAGAATTGCTTCTCCTTCACTAACATCTAAAACATCTGAAATTTGCTGCAACAATTCACCTTTTGATTCAATTGCATTTAGTCTCTCTGTAATCTCTGAGATTTCCTTCACTAACACATCTTTTCTGCTTCCATTCTCTGTAACAAATAAAAAAAGATTCAGACAATTTCAACTTCAAGATTATTAAAGAAACATATAACAGATGAATTGGCTTACCTTTTTCTTCCTCTATGATCATCACACCATTGTTGGCTTTAGAATCCTCAGCTGAATCTTTCATTTGTTCTAAATCTTCTTCATGATTTGAAGAACAAACAGGCAATTCTGAGACCGGTTTAGTCTCTTCATCAAGAAACTCTTCTGCTTCTCCTCCTTCTCTCAACAATCCATATCTCAATCTATAAACTTCAATTTCAGCTTCAAGCTCTTTCATTTCCTCTTCTCTCTTAACCAACAAGCCATTCATAGACTGCAAAGCTTCT